ATCGAATCCTTTTGTTCTGCCTCTCTTCCAGGAAAACTTCTGTTATGGATAGATAATGTTTTTTATTCTTTCGATGGGACAGATTGACTATAAAAAAACGAATTTCTGTTTCCAAATCTCATATTTTGAAGAGTAATATGAAAAGTATCGTTTGATTATCGACATATCTAAAGTTTATTTAATAGATACTACGAAAAACTAAGTACGAAATCCGTATCATCGACCATTGATTATCCGCACATGGTGAAGGTTCAGGGTTAAAAGTGAACAAAGATGATTCTAGTCTTAAAAAGAGAACAATTGATAGTATTTGAAATAGAAGTATTTCTATTCTTGAGCAGCAGTATTTAGTGCTTTGGTCATTCGAAATCTTTCTGGGAGTGAACAACTAGAACATTTATGTAAAATATGATGATAGAATACATTGTCAAAAAATGACCAATTAGTATGAAAATTATTTTTCATCGAATATGAAGTATTCTTTCAATATATGGCTTTCATTCAAATGTTACATGTCTATGAACTAAGATACGAACACGTTTGACAATCATCTCTATGTTTGATGAAATTGTGTAACGACCAGTATTTTCCAAATGGCTTAGCTCGTACTAAAGGCAAATCAATGAAATTTTTCGCTGATGGTAGATTTAAATGATCTCTATTTATAATAAAAGTTTCAAAGAATAAAATTTTTTTCACTGACAAGAAATCGATGTAACTCATTAAAATCCTTAAATACAGTTGTAGAATTTAGTATGCCAAAACCAGATGTTACAGAAGACGATTTAGATGATATTATAAAAAATTGTTGTATATGTCTAGAACAGGTAAAAGCTTGCGATATCAAAAACTATATATAAATAACTATTAGTATAAACACTTTTTGTGTGTAGTAAAAACATATTTGTTTCTGTTGATCTAAAATTGCTTCATGAATATATTAAAACAAGAAATAACGATGAAGAAAAAGTGTTCATGATTGATAATGAGAGTATTAAAAGTTTGTGTTGACAATATACTTTTCTAAGAAAAACTAATAAATAAATAGTTTTTCTATAATCTTAGAAGACTTTCTTCTTTGTAAGCAGAATCAAACAAAAGCTATGATCATCTCTTATCATTGTCTTAATATTTAGTTTGCTTATTTTTCTTTTTCAGACAATTACATTCGGTCCAATGACAGATTGACGAGAAGATTTTACTGCATCATCTATTGTGGCTAGTACTAATCGAATCTCAACTATGACAGCAATATTTCAATCTCAATCTCAATTGAACTTTGTATGACGTTTTGATCGACGAGACTTTTTTATTTTATAATTTTTTTTTAAGTAGGTCGCATCAACAGATACTAGTCTTAAAAGTCAATCTGTAGCTGTAGGTAGTTCAGTCACACAAAAATGTACAGGACAAATAAGTAAAACTAATTCAATATCAACAACAAAATGAAGCCGATTTAGTGACTAGTTTCTGTATATTTTGTTAATAAATAAATAAATAACTTGTCTGTTTCGAAGAACGTTGTTCTACGTATTTTGTTTTATTTTAATGACAAATTTAAGTCGAAATGGAATTATGAAAATCAAATAAATGTTTTCATCTATTATCAAGATCTTCTAAATTTGGATAATGATCTATACATATTAACCATACATTTTCCAGTAATTGGATCGAATGGACTATTCATTATTCTAATAGAAATAGGATTTTTCTCAAATGTTTCTACTTCATTTATTGCATTGACCCATCCATTTCTATATATAATTCATTAATTAATATAACATTGTAGATGTTGTATAAGATTATATGAAGCATTGTAGAATAAATAATAAATCAGTTATTTCATCTAATTCTTGTTGAATTCTCTTTGTGGTTAGAGAATTAACATTTTTATCATAGAAAATGGACGATGAGTTTCTGAAAATAAATCATTATTAAGATATATTGTTGATTGAATTAGACATTGTCTATCATTAATCTGTCTAGCTAAGAATTCTTGAGGTATTGTATCATCACCATGATGAGTCACGAAATGAAACAGAAAGATATAAAAATTCTTACAACTATGCGGAGAAATTTTCATTGTATCATTCTTAAGATTAAAAATTTCAATTTATATGTATAATACTCTATAAGTATTCAACGATGAAGTTTGTTGAATCTCAACGTTTCAATAGTGAAAATATTTCAAAATAGATTTAAGATTTTCGAACCTATCTGATAATTTAATAATTTTGATTCGATGTGATATTCTAGGAATCGAATCGGAATCGTCGAACTCTGACATGATACATAGGTAATGAAAACGATTATCTAATTGTAGCTTTGATATGTTGAAATTTTTACAATATATGTTACTCTTTTGTGTAAACCTTTCTTTCCATTTTATTGGTTCTCATAATGTCGTGATTAGTACATCTATTAGAAAATCGAAATATATCAAAATTATTTTGATAGTTTCTAAGTTTTTGATCAATATTCAGCCTAGAGAAGTTTAGAAATTTTCAAAGGTTTTCACCCTCTTACTCATAGAATATAACTAAGTCAGAAATAATAAATTTTCTAATCATCAAAGTTGAACAATAAACGAATGCATTTGTTTATAGTGACTAATCAATATTTTTTCGGCAACATATTGAAGTGTCTACTGCTTGAACTCAATATTAAATAATATATATGAAATTGGTGTTTTAAATATTGAAACATAATATCTAAAGCTGTTGGTTTTTTACCCTGTTTTTATAACATACATAAACATTATAGAGTGCTGGCTCCAATTTTAACTATCTTCTGTAGGCTGCATTTAATGTATATATTCAAGTATCTGTATAAAATAAATAGCACGATGATACTACATCTACGTTACTATCACAATCATATAAAATATTAGTTCCTCTTAAAATTATATATATAAAACACTAGAATGTATTCGAATTGTACTTGATTGCGAAATACGATGTACGGAACGATTTGATCCCTGTCAGATTACCTCGAGGTGATTCAATCTCGATCATTGATTGATCTCTCAACATGTTCTCCACTGAATGTTAATCGACAAGTAATCTAGAAAACGAATTCTACGACAATGCAGCATATATCTTTACCTTGATTATACATTGTTGGGCAAAGCAAAACAATGAATAAATGATTAACCAATAGATTACCGCACATTTTCGTAGTAAAGTCTATTATACATGTCACTTTAGTATGTTAGCTGAGTACAATGCGAGACATAAAATTTATCTTCGATGAAAAATATATTATATCAATGTAAACATCTGCAAAAATAACAAAGGTTATGAAAAAATCTCTCTTGACATAATGACAAGTTTTAAAATGTTTTTGTCACATTGAAAAAACTAAATGCTCGAAAGAACTGATCCTTGAACAGGCGTTCGATTTTAACAATCTTGTCAATATGATGCTAATCATACTAAGTATATAGATTTTCACGACAATAAATACTCGTAAATCAATTATCATGGATAGAAACGAAATGAATGTAATGCAATGATGCATTTTAATTGATTCGAACTCGGCAACACAATTTAAGAAGATAAACAGATAGTGACAAAAAGCTATTCATGAGATGCAATTACATAGAAAGAAAGGAAGAAAAATGTAATATCATGTTTCTTCATTAGCCCTTTGTTTACATATTTTATCATCCCATTTTCACGTGTTATACAGAGACGAACGGAAGAAAAATAAAATCGATGACACCAATAACAAAAATTGCTTTGTGTTTGTTTTTTCTTCAGAAGAAATTCAAAAGAACCATGCAATCAATGTTACGGCCGAGATTTGTTATTCACGGAACAAACTTCTCTGTTTGAACAATTCAATAATTCTGGCGATTTCGATTAAATGCAGATACCAGCGATTCTATTCATTGCTTTTCATTTATATGCAAACATAAATGACTTTCTTTTACATGCACATAGCAATAAATAAAACTTAAATATTACTTCTTTATGAATCATAGATATTAATGAAAGAAGAACAGTTATGAAAGTCATCATTACTCCAATCACTAATGAGACGCCATAAATATCACTGAGAGTTAAGCAGAATCAGACCAGTAGTTTGACTTCAATCACTGATTAATAATCAACATTATATTCGACAAATAGAAACTGTTATTTAATTGTTGTATCACTTAAAATTAGAATTATGTTTCTTCTTATTTCATTCACATAATTAGCATGACAATGATAAGCACAGCGAGAAAAAAATAGAAAAGGTATGAGACAAGATATCTGATGCAAAAATATTAAAGTCATTGTACGCATAAAAAGCAAAGGAAAGTCGAAAAAAATAACAAACACATTAATAACGTCGTTGATTTTTTCCTTTTTATTTGTTTTTAACAAGCATATTTTCAACTGCAACTAGATAAAGTTTGTTATTGAGTGTGAATGAAAAAGAAAATATCCACATTTGACGTCGAAAATAAACCTAGAAAAAAAAACAACGAACATCAAAAGTATAAAGAGAATAGGTAATATTTGTCCGAACACCAAATATTATACATTGAAAATGAGTGGAGAACAAAGACGACGCGTTGTTGAGAACCATTTAGTAATCTGGGTTGATGCTACTATCGACAAATCAAAAGAAAGTTGGCAAAAGAAAATTGCAAAAGTACAAGGCATCATCAACGATGTCAACACTTTTACACAACCAAATGAATCTATTGAATTTCTTAATAGCATTACTCTGGAGAAGGTTTTTCTCATCACTTCAGGATCTTTAGGTAAACATCTCGTGCCAGAAATCCATGAGATGACACAGTTACATAGTATTTACATCTTTTGTCGTAACAAACAATTTCACAAAACATGGGCTCGAAATTGGCCAAAAGTTAAAGGTGTCCACAAATCAATGAAGTCCATATGCAAATTATTGCGAATGACTGTTAAGCAATGTGATCAAAATAATACAACGATCAGTATTATTGGTGTCAATGAAGAAGTTTCTAGCGAAAACTTCAATCAGCTAGATCTAGTCTTCATGTACACTCAAATACTTAATGAAATCATTCTCGACACGGAACATGATCAAAAAGCAATCAAAGAATTGGTCAAGTTTTGTGAAGAAAAATATCTAGGCAATACCGAAGAGCTCCAACTTATTGATGAATTCCAACGCACTTATCATCCAACATCAACTATTTGGTGGTATACACGCCAATGTTTCATATATAAAATGCTGAATCGAGCATTACGAACATTGGACGGTGATGTCATTATCAGAATGGGATTTTTTCTTTGCAATTTACATCGACAAATTGAAATTTTACACAAAAGACAGAGTAGTCAATATCTTAGAAAGATCTTTCTAGTTTATCGAGGCCAAGGATTATTGATAGCAGACTACGAAAAACTCACTAGAAATAAAGGTGGACTTATTTCTTTCAATAACCTTTTATCTACCAGTGAAAATCGAGATGTCTCCTTCAATTTCGCCAAGAATGCATTAACAACAACTGATATGGTCGGTATTCTTTTTCAAATAACAATAGATTCCACCATCGCATCGATACCGTTTGCCTCCATTCAGGAGGTGAGTTATTTCAAGAATGAAAACGAAATTCTCTTTCCCATACATACCGTTTTTCGAATTGATGACATTCGGGAAATTGATGACAGAAGTCCACTTTATGAAGTGGACCTTCAACTTACATCAGATGACAATCAACAACTCCGTCAATTAACCGAACATATCCGAAAAGAAGTAACAGATAGCACTGGATGGCATCGAATAGGTAAATTGCTGCTAAGACTAGGTCGATTCGACAAGGCCGAAGAATTGTACACAACATTACTGGAACAGACATCCGATGAACGTGAAAGATCGAATATCTATCATCACCTTGGATGTTTAAAAAATGACCAAGGACAATACCAAAGAGCAATTTCATTTTATAAGGCATCTCTCGAGATCAACCCAAAAGCTTTTTCAGAAGACAACCTTTCATTGGCTTCTACCTACAACAGCATCGGTAACGTATATACTAACATAGGCAACTACTCCAAAGCACTTGAGTTTTATGATGAAGCACATAAAATACTCGAAAAAGCTCTACCTCCAAACCATTCCTCGTTGGCTACGTCCTACAATAACATCGGTCAAGTGTATCAAAATATGGGCAACTATTCGAAAGCACTTCAATTTTACGATAAAGCAGTTCAAATTAAAGAAAAAACTCTGCCCTCGACTCATCCTGATCTGGCTACCTCTTACAACAACATCGGTCAAGTGTACAAAAATATAGATGATTACTCAAAAACACTTGAATTTTACGAAAAAGCACGTAAAATATTGGAAAAAGCTTTGCCACCAAATCACCCCGATTTGGCCATGTCCTACAACAACATCGGTGGGGTGTACTACAGCATGGGCAACTACTCGAAAGCAGTCGAGTTTTACGATAAAGCACTCAACATAAGAGAAACAGATCTGCCTCCGAATCATCCTGGTTTGGCTATGTCTTACAACAACATCGGTGTAGCATATTACAGTATGGGTGACTACTGGAAAGCACTTACATTTTTCGGAAAAGTACATGAAATATTCGAAAAAGCTTTGCCTCGGAATCATCCCGATTTGGCTACGTCCTACAATAACATCGGTCTTGTGTACGACAACATGGGTGACTACTCGATAGCACTCGAATTTTACAAAAAAGCACATCAAATTGAAGAAAAGGCTCTGTCCTTGACTCATCCCGATGTGGCGATCACTAATCTGAATTTTGCAGCGTGTTACGAAAGAATGGGTAATTATGCAGCAGCTCTTAAAGCTGTTCAAAATGCTTTTCAAATTCAACGACAAGCATTTCAAGAAGGTAATCCAGATTATGCCTTTACTTACAATCGCTTAGGAAGAGTTTATCGTGGTATGAAAGATTATTCAAAGGCACTTGAGTATTTTGAAAGAGCTCTTGCACTACGTCAGCAAACATTACCTGAAACACATCCTAATCGGGCTATTACATACGCAGATATTGGTGATATTCATCGATTGATGGGTAATTATGAATTGGCACTTTCATTTCAACGGAAAGCGTTAAATATTCAAGAAAATGTTCAATGTAGTCCTCTGGATCGTGCAACGACATATATGAATTTAGGTGAAACTTATCGAGAAATGAAAGATTATTCAACAGCCTTGACATATTTTCAGAAAGCATTACAAATATATGAAAATAAACTGCCAAAAAATCATCCTGATTTGGCTCTAATCTATCATAGTTTAGCGAAATTATATTTAGCTACTCAACAAAATAGTATGGCAATAAAAAATGTTCAACAAGCAATAGAAATCAGTGAAGAGAAATTGTCTTCAAATCATCCTAATCTCTTGGACTATAAAAACACATTTGAAAAAATTCGAGGAAAATTGTAAAATTTTCTTTTTTTTCGTCGTTCAATAAACTGATCTATCCTTCTATTGAATTTTAATGAGAGTTTTGATTGTATTTAACCAACTAATTGAATCCGTCGGAAGTAAGAAATATGAAAAATGAAATCGGATGTTTTTGCGTTTCATTGACTTTCATTTTTCTGAAATACTGTTGCTTTTTTAAAGTTTTAGTTGAATGGACGCAACTCAAAGTATAAAATATCCATGGCATAGAAAATATGTAAAATTTGGCAGTTGAGGACTCTTGTGTATAGACTAAGAAAGTCAAAAATGTGACTGGATCTGCACCTTCTTTAAAGAATCTACTAAAATCATTTTAAGTGCAGAAAATATATGTTAGATGTAGTTACTATAATCGTTTTCTTGGTTTCTATACAAACAAATCATTAAAATTCCGTTATAAACATTGATCAAAATCAATTTAAAAAAAATTCAAAATAATAGATTTAACAATCAAATTGATTACGATCGTGAAAAAATGTCTGTTGATCTGTCAAAAAGAAACTTCACGATAGTTTTCGACGAATGCAACAGAAAGTTAAGAATGATTTCTTTTATTTCAGTCGTTATTGCACAGCTATTTTCATCTTCTTTTGATGGCTAGGATTCCAGAAAAATATACAGATAAGGAAATGTGTTTATAACTTTTAATTTTAATCCTATAATTCTACTGTATATTATCATTCTTCAGTTGATTTGATAATATAAGAAGTTTGATCAAAGCTATTCACTTCTGAGTTAGATAGATAAGTAAAACTGTCATTTCTATAATAAATGCCCTTCTGTACTATATATTCAAGGGAGACATATTCATGATAAAATATTTTTGTTTATAACGTCCATGTCTGGAAACAGTTTAAAGATAATATTGAACAGTTTCGTGAAGGTCGAAAAAGACATTCGAAATCGACTAGTCATAATCCTCTCAGGTTTATGATGTTAAAAATCTTCTTGAGTCTCATAAACTGATTCGTATAGTTTTTCAACTGTTCTGATAAATAGAGACTGGTCATCGCAAATAAAATACAGCGACAGTCCTACATTTCATTTATATCGATCTTCACCTATTTATCTAATACCAATATAAAAACTATACGATCTTCATTATCAAGAATCTCATTCAGTGTTATCATCATGATACTCAACCAAAATTGATTTCCCTTATACTCATGTATTATTTGAAAATAATTATTTATTCGTTTCCAAAAAATAAAGAGTGCCAATACTATCGACAACAACGTCGAATTGAAGAATCAAATCCATATCTATAAAAATAAAAAACTTTTTTTTCTTAATTACCCACTACTCGTCAGTATCCTCAAAATTTTTTCATGAATGAAACGAACAATAAAGCCACTATGAATCGTTCAATACCGCCTATGGTTAACCAAAAATTTATGACATATGTTGATGATAAACAAATGACCAATATAAAACCATTAGATATAAAATTTATAAGAACATAAACTTCAATCGATTGATCGTTTGTTTTTTATTCTTTAGACGGAGTGATTTGTGTAGGAATTCAATTAATTATGAACACCAAAGGAGTAACTGATCAAGTTCGCACTTTTGGAAATAATCCCTATCAATATTTCGAAGTTTATCAAATTGTATTGGGGATCTTGATAAGAGTAATAATAATCAAATAGAAAATGGATAAAGAACAAATACGAACCAGTCGTCAAATAAACACTAGGACGCTAAGAAAGAAAAGAAAAAAAAAGAAATTTTGTTCGAAATACCGAAATAAATAAGACAAAAATACTTCTCTAATCATCAATTACTCATGCTGATTTCACTGAAAATGTTGCACATCATTTTCATATATATGCGGAGAATTGTGTTGGAATATTACCAATATTAATAACGACTCGTACGATTACTGCTAAAAGTTCATACACATGTTCAAATATACCAGAAGGATGATCATCATTAACGAAAATCGCTCCATTGAATCAATCCAATATTCATGGCTACCACTACCATCAAATCATGATGGTACAACATTAACAGGTTATTTTACTGAAAGAGGTAATATATCAGGACCAATGGGAGTTGAAGTAAATTATTCATAAAAATACTTTTGTTGAAGGTTCTCTTATTTAATAGAAATATTTTCTAAAAGCTTTGAATGTCAATCTTTAAGATCAGAATAACCAGTTAATAACGTTACAATAGGAAATATCCAGTAATGATGATGATAGTCCATTAATAGAATATTTCTTAGAACAATATGATAAAAGAAATATGTAATAATAATGAATATATGCAAGTGCGAATTTTACGAGTAATAACAGGAAGGTTTTTCGAGTAATGAAATAAAATTAAAGTATCTATGATCATTTTTGTAGTGAAGCAGCAAAATCTATCGGATGTAGTGAAACAAAAGTAGTTAAATCAGAAAAAAACAAATAGTAATTTAATTAATTTTACTATCAACAAGACCATCATTATTAAGAAGTTCAAATGTTACTTTATTTTATATTATCTAATGTAGAGATGTGCTTAAAGGTAATTGGATTTTATAAATAAAAAAAAAGTTTCATCAAATCAATATAAGTTTCTTCTAAAAGAATAAACTTATAGTTCAGTTTTATTCTTTTCTTGTTTGTGCATGAAAAATATCAAAGGATAATCAGTATCTATACAGTTAACCGTTGCATATGAAATCGATGCTAAAGATAGTAGAAGGCGATTTTTTTTGTAAAAGACTTTAACAAAAAGAAAACCTATTTTATTTAGTTTCATGAACAAAATTATGTGATGCTGAAAGTGGAAAAGTTAAAAAATCACTCAATAACTACAGCATCATAGCAAGATAAAACTGGTGTTATATCCTTTTACATTAATTGGAGTATGGGATTCCGAACAATACTCATGAAATGAATTAGAAAAGAATTGATGCATTAAAACAAATATATATACGAAAAGATTTTACTATAAAGCTCGTTTACTAATTAATTGACGTAGAGCTTCATCAAAAACTCAACCTTATTCATTGATTTTAAAGAACAATATATTCTAAATTGTTTTGTGAAAAAACAATAAGTTGGATTTTTTCAAAAATGAGAAAATCTTGATAATTCATTACAAACATGTTCATGTCTTGTGGCGTGCTTTAACATCAGATATGCAATATATAGAGGATGTCGGTGTGGGTGGGATGGTGGTGTGGGTTATTACAATAATTACACTCACACCCACACCCTCTTTTAAATATTGAATATAGAAGATAAATTTAATGAATGATCTTTATCTACGTTATTCGAAATAAGAAAGTTAATCATATTCATGTTCATCGAAGTTTTTTCAATTTATTTACTAATAAATGTTGTCACTCTATTTACAACTTATCAAATCTTCTTAAAATATACTGTCAAAACCAAATATATCGAATCACTCGAGTGTCTTAGTTATGATTGTTATCTTTATTGAGATATGAACAAGTGTCATTCATTCTAGGTTCAATCATAGTTTTGTCAAATATATATGCAAAATAGAAAGACATCGTATTTAAGATTCATTTTAATTGACCACCAGAATATTAACGAAAATATTCAACGTTAAATATTGACACTATAAAGTAAGAATTATGAAAAGTTGATGTTTGTCGTTATATGTTTTGTTAGATTTAGTAACAATTCATTTTTCTCATGTTATCATTTATGTTTTATAAAGTTTGATAAGGAAAAAACAATGTAAGACATATTCCGTTAGTTACATATGAGTAAAATCGATAGAAAATGAATTTTCAAATGATCTTTAAATTCTAACTAATATTTAAAATGTAAACTTGAAAAAGTGATCTACTTTATTACTCATAAGAATTTCCGTTGTAGATATTTTCATTCAATATCAATTTATCAAAACAAATGTGCCACATTCTATTTATTCCTCAAAATGAGTTTTAACATGACCACATATACAGAATTAGTCGATTCTGATCATAGTAAAGAAAGCTCCAATTCTCTGATCTATAGTCTTGCTACAGTAGATGACTGTGATTCATTAGCTAATATAATAAATAATGCTTATCGTGATGAATTCTCAGATCAAGGCTAGACTAATGAAGATGCATTAGTTTCTTTACCAAGAACAAATGTCAATTCATTGTTTGATATGATTAATAATAATAAATAAATATTTTTGATATTTTTTGATGACGTTGATCAACTTTTAAAAGGATGTATTAACTTACTACACAAGGACGAGACTAAAACTGCCCAAATAGATATGTTTGTTGAGTGGTATAAAAAAGGTTCAAAACAAAAAATGTCGAAAGTGGAAAATATCGAAGGAAAAAAATATTGAAACTGCTATCAATGCAGTGTGAGGATGTGGGTGTTGGTGTGATGTGTGTGGAGGGCATGCATATAATCTGCTTGATGATTTCTCTGAAAAATGCTGATAAAACAAATAACAACCATTTCTCAGAGAATTCCAAAGTACGGCTAAATAATCGATACTTTTTTTGTTAATACGTTTAAATGAGTACGTCCAAATCTATATGTACATGTAATATGCCAGAATCTCTGATAGATGCTAAATTTCAGACTTGAATTGAACGAAACTATAATAAAAACAAACTTTCCTCGCCTAACTGGCCTTTTATTTCAGCATCGCGGCGCGGGAACGCGTAGCCTCCCTGAAGAGCCACGACCCATACTTGTCTCGGCGTACACAGTCAATTCTATCGTGATTTTCTCGTTTACTAGCATGATTGAGGATGCCAATAGAATTCTCAGAAATGCTACTAGCAACCCGAATGAAATCTGTAGCACATATGGATTAGGACAAATTTGGACGTACTCATTTAGACGTATCAAAAAAGATGCATAGATTAAGACGTATAGATTGGAGCGTACTCATTCGGATGTATAAACTAAGATGTATAGATTTTGACGCACAAATTTAGACGTATCCACAGTATTATAGAAAAATAAATGCATTTTTTTTATCGTTTTCCGAAGAAACGATAA